AAGCCCAGGTGTTGAGCTCCTTGTTTGAGTTGCGCGCCGACCTGCACGCTGGCAATGAAGTGCAGGAGGAGGCGGGGCATTTTGAGAATGTTCATTCACATGTGGCGTGTCGAGATGGTGTGAGATTTATGGGTGTGAGATGTGCGCATTCATCTCCAAGAACTCACAACTTGGATTGGATCCATTAAAATGTCGCTGGCTGCAGCCGCCTCACAGCTGTTGAGCGCAGTAGTTTAACCTCGGACCTCGGAGCCAGACAGGGAGAAGCTATAGGTTTCAAGATAATCTTCCAAGGTTCCAGACAAGAAAGGTGGAAATCAGGAAACCTGCATGAATTTTAATCCTTCCGCAAATTCTCATGAACTTCTCCTTCACATAACTGCAAAAATCAAAGTTCAAACATTCAGTCGCTGAGCGCTGGCGGGAAAAGGTGAGCCTCTGGGCAGAGGAAGCATAAGGGAGGCTGGCTTCAAGAAGATGAGATGTACAGAACTGACAGAACTTGGTTTAATCAGTTACATTAACATGTGTGCAGGAACTAATTTGTACAAATCATTGCTCTTCTGATCACCATTTAATGCAACCACTATGATTGTACAGGGTGCTTGAATCCACTAATGTTTTCATGTGAGGTTCCTGTTTCAACCCCGTGCAGCCATACTACTCAACACTGCAGAATGTCATAGAATATCCATGCGAACTTTGATGTGGGCTCAACAGCCATACTCTTAAACCGGGAGAGGTATCAAAAAAACATAAATAGTGATCAATAAAAAAATAAATAGGGATCAATAGCAAAACAAATGGGGATCAACAAAAAATATGTAGGGCTCAAGACAACAACAAGCAGGGATAAAAAGAAACAATAGAGAAGAGAGAAAAGAAAGAAAGAAAGAAAGAAAGAAAGCAAGAAAGCAAGAAAGCAAGAAAGCAAGAAAGAAAGAAAGAAAGAACGAAAGAAAAAAAGGAAGAAAGAAAGAAAGAAAGAAAGGCAGAAAGAGAGAGAGAGAGAGAGAGAAAGAAAGAGAGAGAGAGAGAGAGAAAGAAAGAAAGAGAAAGAGAAAGAAAGAAAGAAAGAAAGAAAGAAAGAGAGAAAGAGAGAAAGAAAGAAAGAAAGAAAGAAAGAAAGAAAGGAAGAAAGAAAGAAAGAAAGAAAGAAAGAAAGAAAAGAAAAGAAAGAAAGAAAGAAAGAAAGAAAAGAAAGACAAGAAAAGAAAAGAACAGAAAAGAAAAAAAAGAAAAGAAAAGAAAAGAAAAGAACAGAAAAGAACAGAAAGAAAGAAAGACAGAAAGAAAAAAAAGGAAAGAAAGAAAGGACAGGAAAGGAAAGGAAAGGAAAGAAAGAAAGAACGAAAGAAAGAAAGAAAGCAAGAAATAAATAAAGAAAGAAAGAAAGAACGACAGAAAGAAGAAAGAAAATAAGAAAGAAATACAAAAGACAGAAAGAAAGAAAGAAAGAACAGAAAATAGATAAAAGAAAGAAAGAAAGACAGAAAGACAGAAAGAAAGAAAGACAGAAAGCAAGAAAAACAGAACGAAATAAATAAAGAAAGACAGAAGGAAGGAAGGAAGGAAGGAAGGAAGGAAGGAAGGAAAGAAAAAAAGAAAGAAACACATAAAACAATAAATAAATACAGAAATAAAGAAAGAAAGAAAGCAAGAAAGAAAAAACGAAAGACACAAAGAACGAAATAAATTGAAGTAGACATTGAAGTAGAGCAGTGCTTACATGAACTGCTTGCAGGACGCATTATAGGCAATATTCAGGTGAGAGCTAGGAGCCATTCGAAGGTAGCAGACCTTTTTGTGAGCCACCAGGAGGAGGGAAGCGGCCATTCCAAGGTAAGCCTTCCGCGGGCAAAACTTGGAGGAGGAAGGCGTCAGTCCTTTTGTGAGCCGCCCGAGAACCAAATTTAGAGGAGGAAGGAGCCACGCGCTAAGGTAGCACGCCTGTGGCTCACAAAGGAGGCAGGCGCCAGAGCGGGCAAGGGAGTTATTTTTTGAGCGCGCGAGTGAGGTGAGCGAGGTACTACTACGACGACGACGACAACGACGACAACGACGACGACGGTCACTACTACTGCTGCCACTGCACACATTACTGTTCTTTCTTTGTTGATTCTTATTTGTTTTGTTTTTGATCCTCGTCTGTCAATTGTTCTTGTTACTACGTCACCCGATTTTGAATTTTTGTTGATCTTTGTTAATTTTTCTTTTGATCTCATTGCTTTATTATGTGTTTGATTTTTTTTAAAATTTTTTTGACCCTTCACCCCTTAAACCTAGCCCATCTTAGCCACCAATAAACGTCTGGGAATACGTCCGTGAGAACCTGATGGACAGGTTCAGAAAGCAAACTTTGCGGACAAAAGGTCCAAGAATCAAATGACAAATGGAAATCCATTTGGGGTTTCCACCATGGAAGCCAGCACCGTTTTCCTCACCCGGTGAACTCAGGGGGACAACTCCAAAGGTCGATCACCAATGGAAAAAATCAGTTATAGTGCTGGGGAAAGTCCGTTAAGCGATCATATTGATCACTGTTAAGTCAAAAAAATTCACCAATTTTGTTTCACCATTCTTTCATTTTGGGCCCCTCCGCCTTGATCTTCATCATTACATCTGACGTTTCGTCGGAAGGTAACAACAACAATGATGTAACCACTCACCAATGAAGTGTAGATAAAACGTGTCGTCCATTTTTTGATGTATCAATGATGTAGAAACAATAAAAACCCAGCTGGTTCATCTCTCTGAGCCGACCCGCAGCTTGCCTTGCTCCGTGGTGTTACCCAACAGACCAGCAATCAGTGTAGCTATGGTTTCCAGGTTTATGGCCCACGGAGTGGCTCCGAGTTTTCATCCTAAAATAGATAGTAGAACTCAAGATGACAACTATTGTGGCCACTATTCTGCGTGTTTGGAGGATTTCGGATGGTGGAATCCTGTTCTGCAGTAGAAAGTCACATCGTGAGATTGAACACTATAGTAAAATGTCCGAGAAGCGTCTTACTATGACGCTAGGACACTACGACTGATTAAAGATGTAAAGATTCCCAACAAAAATCAACAAAGAACATATCACATGATACTGATATCTTCGAAAATGGATCCTGTTTCCGGACGGTAGAGGCTGGGCTTTCCCCGGCCTGCAGTGGATCTAACGCTGAGAAAGTTTGAGCATCGTCATCGTGGCATCAAAACGCTGTGTGGGCCTCCGGCCTCAGCAACATGCATTACACATCTTGCACCATCTTGTCCAGCATGCATTCAAAGAATGGGCAAACTTGAAAGGACGTATTCGTGCAGTGACCAGAAGTTGCCGGGGATTGCCTTCAGCACGCAATCAACCCCGGGTTGATTCCACCAAATGCTGACAAAAATCAACCGTATTAAATCGCCCAAAAAAGACAAGCGCCAAGGTGCTCAGGGTTGGCCGCACACTGCGGTTTCAGGGAAGAGCCCAAAGAGCCTGATAGCTGCTGGTACCAACAGATTGCCAAAACAGAATCTTATGCGCATGACCAACATGGTGAGATTGACAATATAAGCAATACGCTCGTACTTCTGGCCTGAAGATAGTTGGCCCAATATGGCACCCAATCCCCACCTGTGGTTTGAAGATCTCTGTTGCCATCTTCTAGGTGACAGAATGGCTGCCAACAACTTCTGGCCTTTGAATCCTATCAGCGCACAACGAGAAAACTGCTCAATTTTCGCATCGAATTGCATTTGTCCATGCTTGGTACACGCCTATAGTAGATATACAGATTATGTCCCATTGTAAATATCTATATAAGCAAATGGCTGGGCAAGTGTTGGGGCTGGCGTTGAACGGCAGTAATTCCTCAGCAGCTTTGGGTTGATATCAGGCAAGGTTTTGTTACGCGTGCGTTTTGGTTGTATTCATGAAAATTGAATGTTAATGACTCGGAGAATATAACATGGATGTTTCTGATGCATGTTCTGGCTCTCAGCACGCACTCAGGACTGTTAGCCTGCAGCATACTTCCTTCTTCATGTGGGATGTGTGATAGCCCTGACACCTACTCTTGTGGGTGTGCATGGTTAAAGTTTTTTGGTACGTAACTCATCTTTGGATTGGTTCCGCAGAATGGCCTTTAACACAAGCTTTGGCAGGCAGGCTTTCCGGTTTTGACGTTTTGCTCAGCTTGCAGGTTGACTTTTCATAGAACCAGGTGCAGTCTATTGGAAGCAGAATCGTGTGCACAACACGTATCCTACCAGGACAGAAGGCTGGCATGAAACTGACAAATTTCAGCGCGGATCCAAGGGCCTTTCGCACCAAATCTTCCCAACTTTGTTTCTTTCTACGTTCCTCGATGTGGCCATGAAATCAAGTGAGAACGATCGTGCAATGTGAAACAATTAGGATTAAACGGGCAACAACATTATATGGGTTGCGAGGCATGGCTTCCGGATCAGAAACCCAAAGCCCCACCAAGTTGTTCATACTTTGCAATATCGTAAGGGAATTGGCAAGTGCAGCTTTCTAGTAACGACCGAAGCTACTAAGCTACTAGGTGGAGGCCATCGCTAGTAGTTTGGCCATCGCTACTAGTAACAATACAGCTTTCTAGTCATCACGCAGCTAGTTCCTGTGTTGCCACTCAACATTTGAACTAGGCGTCGGGGCGTCAATACTTCCCCCAGTCGGCACCGAGGTCCCAGTTGCGGACAAAACCACAGCCTTCCTGGCCACGTGCTTTGTTGCTTTGCTTCGACTTCAAACATTGCTTTGTCTATTTTTGTGTGTGACATTTTTGCAATGTTTGAAACGCAGTGATGGATTTGGCGGGATTGTTTAAACATGATTTCTTGCTGCCGGGCTTGGCCAGAACCATAGGCACAGATAGATCATCCGTTCCTACCTGTTCGACGATCACGTAGAAAACGGTTCAAAACTGAATGTAAAGTCATTGTTTTTGCGCAATGCTCGGGGCAAACCATACGAAGTTATCCAAACACAGTGGCTCCAAGATTCTTCCCTTCCATGTCGGTTTGAGATTCTGGTCATGGCGCGTTGGTTGGCGCTAGCCCTCGGAAGCTTGGCAGCATCGAAGCGAAGACCAACCGAGACATGAAGCCGATGCCAAGACCGAAGACATGAAAGACCCTTTGTCACTTGAGTGTGTCAGGAGTGTTTGGCAGCCCCCATGAGGCACGACTTGAAATTTGGAACAAGTTTTCTCCACCTTCACGAAGCGACAAGTGATTCTTGCTTGGTAGGAATTCCAGATGCGGCAAGTGATTCATCGCAGCCATCAAGACTATGGAACTCAAACCCACGCAAGGCGTGTAGAAGCAAGAAGCTTCTAGGGGCTCCTGGCATCGCTACTAGGAGCAAGGACGCTACTAGGGGCTCCTGGCCATACTACTAGGAACAATGGTCGCTATTAGAAACAAGTCTGTGTGGAGTCTGTGGAGTCGCAAAGGAAGACGTTTGTCGTGACAGATGGTGAGCTCTGGTCCTAGGCGATTGCAAGAGCAGACATGTGAGCAAGTCCACGCGGTCTCTTGGCGGAGATACCATCTATTTGGGCACAATTTCCTTGCAAATCTGTAGTCACTTCGGAATTCTTATTCACTTCCAGTCTGAAGTCACAGAAGGATTTGTCCATTCGAATTTTGTATGCAGTGTGCATGTTGACCCCAAAAAGCAATTTGTCATCAAGCGAGCAAAGTCTTTTCGTCTGACTGGGCCTGCATATGTTGGTCCCAAACCAAAATGCTTCCGAGTAGCCACTTCTGTCCTCTAAGGCTTCAACTTGGGAGAACATCAGGACGACGACAAGTCAGTGCAACGAACGGAACGGAAACGAAGGAACCAACGAAGGAGTTCACTTCGATTATGCCTGAAGGATCGGATATGAACTGCTTGATGTGGAGTCTGTTTCTGCCAACAAGATTGACCTTGTGCAGAACACCTTGATGGCACCTTGAGCAAAGTTACTATGGTGTTGCAGTGGGACCTTCATTTCGGTGCCGACAATGACAGCTGGCTCTCAGTGGACCTGAAGTGCTCGCGTTTGCATGTAGCAAGACTAGAGATAGACTTTTCTTTAGGATGCGATTGCGTGGGATTGTACAGAGGTAGAAGATAGATCGCAGTAAGAGGAGGCCATCGCTATTAGGTTGGATGCCATTGCTATTAGTAACAAGAAGCTTCTAGGGGCTCCTGGCATCGCTACTAGGAACAAGAACGCTACTAGTATCCATCCTCGCTATTAGGCCATTGCGACAACTTCATGCCTAGGCACGTGCTGTGGCCTATTGGTCTTTCGCGCTTCAAGTGCGACGGGTCTCTCGGCTAAGAGGTGAGCGGAGTGTTGTCCGGTTACAGGATAGGATTTGGAGTTCCAAGGGGTGAACCTTCGCGGAATTGAAGAACAAGAACAATAGACTTAGTAGAAACAAGTGCCTCGCTTCTAGTAACAAGTGCCTTACTAGTAGTAACAAGAAGCTACTAGGAACAATAGACTTCCAACTTACTTATTGCGGACAACAAAGCTCAAGTCGACAGTGCTCCTTGATCCAAGGCCCAAGCACCGTTGAAGATGGATCGCTTGGGTGCTGGATGCTTCAAATATGACCCTCGAAGAAAAAGTCAACCAAGCATGAGCGATGGCCTACAACCTAAGAGCGATGGCCTCCAACCAAATAGGAAAGGCCTCCAACCTGAAAGCGATGGCCTCCACCCAAGAGCGATGGCCTCCACCCTAGAAGCGATGGCCTCCAACCAAACAGCAATGGCCTCCAACCTGATAGGAATGGCCTCCAACCTAAGAGCGTTGGCCTCCAACCTAAATAGCAATGAACTGATGTTTGTTGGGTGGCAGAAGGTGTTGTCCTTTGCTTGGAATTTCCCACAAAGTCGCCGTTGTCTTTGTTTCGATCTTGCTTCCTTTGTTCTATATGGCCGATGGCATTTGGAAAACCCTTATGTCATAGCCTTATGTCACACCTTTTTGCAACATGTGTTTTTCCATTTTGTGTACTTTGTGTACTGAGGAATTCGACACAGAGTATCGCTGCCAAAGCTTGAACACGCCCACCTGTGGCGGGGTTTCGGTGCCAGACAAGTACCTGATGCTGGACTGATGGAGAGCAGGTTACAGAAAGGTTCAGGGAAAGCAACCAAATAAGAACTATGAAATGAGAGCAAAAAGAGAGAGAGAGAGAGAGATATACAGAGTGCGAGAGTGGGAATAGAAAAGAAAGGAACGGACGCGTAGCTGTGTAAGAGCCATCCTGCCACTCTGCTCACTGATCGGTGTCTGAGGAAGTTTAGCCGGGCTTGCCAGCAAAGCTGTGTTGCTTGGTATTGCAGGTTGGAGGCCATCGCGACTAATAGAGCTTTCTAGTATGTCTTTGAAGCTTTGGAGTAACTAGAAGCTACTAGGTTGGAGGCCATCGCAAGTAGGTTGGAGGCCATCGCTCTTGGGTCTCACGGGTTGTAGAGTCGTGCCGTTCTTGTTCCTAGTAGCAAGAATGCGACTAGTAGTAATGCCCTTTGTTACTGGTAGCGATGCCCTTTGCTCCTAATAGCTTCTTGTTCCCAGTAGTAAGGCCAGGTGAATGGGCAAATGAGCCTGAATCCTCAGCCTCAGTCATCTTCTCATCAAAGAGTCTCTTTTTCTCGGTCAAGACACTGCAGGTTCCAAGCTTCGCGTGTTCTGGGAACTGTATCTCAGGCGAATATTGCAAAGCATCTTCTATTGATTTGGACCCAGAAGAACACTTCCAAGTGATGCAGCGTTTTCATATTTCTTGAAGACCACCTTTCCGAGATTGACTGCTCTTCTAACAGGCTTCAAAGCAAAGAAACAAATGCCCTGGAGGCAATAGCTGTGCATGTGACGTCGATCTCTGGCAAAGCAGTGGCAGCTCAGGCACAACAGAGGGACCAACAAAACGTGCAAAACCAACTTAGTTCTTGGTCGTTCAATGTTCCCCTGCCAGCCTGCTGGTTTCCTGTTCCTCATGGTTCTTGTTCGCCCCCTTTTTGAACTCTTGTGAAGGTAAACCAGGATGCAAAGAGTTTCTAGCACATGGGGTGTTTGGACCCTTCAAAGACAGGTTCTTCCTTGTTCACCGTAGCAAACGGGGTGTTTGGCCTTTAGTGCATACATTCTTCTGAGAATGTCACTTGAAGGCCGCAGTTTCTCGTTGACACTCATCGATGTACTTGTTTTTCTCGCTGTGAGGAGGCTATTGCGCCAAGGACGCTACTAGGGGCTCCTGGCGTTACTACTAGGAGCAAGGACGCTACCAGGCTCGAAAAGAAGAGCCCAAACACAGCGACATTGACCGCACCGGAGGCTATTGCTGTTCGTTGTCTCCTGGAAATGACTGTCCCGATGGATGTTCGGTGGAGACTGCTGAGAAGGTGGGCAGCGGCACCACTGGAGGCTTCGTTTGTGAGGCACAGTGCAGTGAGGCGCCGGAAGGCGCAGGGGCAGAGAACGAAGACCTCCATATCTTCGTCACCATTCAAGACTCAACGGCATCTTGTTTTTTGAAGCAGCCAGTTTTTGTAGTACCAATATGGCCCACTAGCCGCCACTGACCTGGGAAACATATCGTGACATACATGTATAATCTCGATTCCTGACAGCTCTCACAAAAAGGAGAAACGGACTCACGAACGGTCAGATGCTACGGACTCACGCACGAGCGGACCTCGACCTCGTTTGCTTTTCTTCGAGGAATGCCAAAACTCCGATGTGCTCTTGGCATTTGCCACGTCCTGTGGGGTGGATCAGTGCGATCGGCCGATCTTTGGGACGATCAACTTTTGCCCTCAGAAGCTGGAGAATGGAGTCGATATGTTGGTCTCGACGGCAGTCCATGAGTTGGCACATGTCGCTCTAACTGACTTCAGGTTCAGAGGATTGGGCTCTCTTTTTGTTGTATTCTTCTTGTTTTGCTTGGCGAATTACACGGTGTGCCACAGGTCTTGTCTGCAAAACACACTAAGAGAAGAAACCGGCAAAGTTTTCCTTATTCTTGAGGATATCTAGTAGATTTTGAGATTTACTATTTGGAATCATCATGGGATTCTTCAACATAGAGGGTTGTCTTTCTATGAGGTTTTGAAGCACATTTGAAGACAATGCGTAGTGCCTACTGTTAACAGTGAAGAACCCCATTTAGTGCCAAATTTGGAGAAAGGAGGCAAAACATACACTATGCAAACGAAAGAAGACTATACACTAACAGGACCTGTCGGTCTCTTTTTGCTTTGCTGTTCTTCCTTCACGACGAAAGACCAAGACCCGCTGAACTTGTGCAACAACTCTTAATGTGTGTTTGATTTGAAAGGATTCGTCACTCTACTTTCGATTTCCTAGGGGCTCCTGGCCTTACTACTAGTAACAAGAAGCTACTAGTAGCAAAGGGCCTTACTACTAGAAACACGAAGCTATTAGAAACAAGAATTAAGAATATTAAAAGTGCTTATCCTTCTTCATGGCTTTATTCCTTGTACCTTTAGACCTCTATTCATCTTTATTCACTAGCAAGAGGTAAGAAAGGCAAGGTCGCCTGGCACTCTGCAGGTTTTGGTCTTTAGCAACGTGCACTTCCGAAACTTTCGCTACTCCAATGGCACGCCGATGATCCCGCGTGCAGCTGATGACGACTCCAATTTTCAAAACGAGATCACATACACTTGCAGCAGTACTGGCTACGAGTGGGGTGCTAGCCCTGGCAATTACAAGTACTTCGGAAAGCATATTATACACATACACACAGACACACACACACACACACACTGGCTCCAACATACAGTGTTGAGAAGACTTGTTCAAGCCGAATGGACTGCGAGTTTGATTTCTGGTGCCATTATGGTGGCCTGGATGTTCTGATGAGAAGCCATCAACCTGGGCTTCCCTGGGCTTATTGTTGCTACGTTCGCTTCTTGTTACTACTAGTAAGGCACTTGTTCCTAGTAGCGTGGCACTTGTTCCTAGTAGCTTATTGTGGGTCAATTTTATGATCTGGTCGTTTACACCTGTTCACCACTTCATGTTTGACGACCTGGCACCCATCCTTTTTTTCAAGGTACGTTGATATGAGCCCAAACATTGTGAACGCTTTCTCCGAGCGGGGCTGCTCATTTGCAAGACATCACGATCTTGATCTGCAAGACGTCACGGTTTTCTTTCTGCAAACTGCAAACGCCAGGCTACAGTTGCCAGTGCCCGATTGGAACCTCCAGCATTACAGCAGGAAAGTCGTGAGGGAGAGCGCTGCAAAGAGACGGAATGAACGTAAGAGGCAAAGCATGGAATGGACTTTGATAGAACAAATATGAAACACGAAAGAGCAAGAAGAACGGAAGGTCTAAAGAGTCTAAAGGTCTAAACATAGTGAAAAAGACAAATAGACAAATGACAAACTGACGCGAGCAAGCTGATAAGATCACAAAACAATCAAGACTGGATCGTTGGAAAAGATCTTCGCGGTTTCCCTGCGCTTCGGGTTTACCTGGGTAGGTCTGGAATGGGGAACCGGTTCTTTTTGTAGAACACAAAACAAAAAAGGAGAATATAAAGCACGCCAGAATGCTTTCTTTTACCGTTTGTTTCAAACACAATAGCTCTTGCACCCAACCCCTCTCTCTCCTTTGCTCCTAGTAGCATTCTTGTTCCTAGTAGTAAGGCCAGGAGCCCCTAGTTTCGTCCTTGCTCCTAGTAGCGATGCCAGGAGCCCTAGAAGCGTTCTTGCTCCTAGTAGCGATGCCCTTTGCTCCTAGTAGCGTCCTCTCCTCCAGGATGCTTTTATCCTTCTCCTCCATATCTTCAAGTGCCCAGCTGCGTGGTGCGGATGACGACGCCCACTGTCCTGGCCGAGGCAAAGCAATGCAACCGATTTCCGGGTGATTTGTTGTGATTTGCTGCCGTGGTGTTCAAGATATAGAAAGCTATTGAAAGCTAGAACGCTGTGGGTTTGGTGGATCTCATGTTATATGTCCAGAACGCTACTAGGGGCTCCTGGCCTTACTACTAGGAGCAAGGACGCTACTAGGGGCTCCTGGCCATGCAGGTTTGAGTTTTGGCTGGAGGGGTTCTTGTTTTGAGGCCCGGAGTTTCTTCGACTGTCCAACACTCGATGGAGCCGAGTTGGAGAACCAGGAAGGCCAGAGGTAACGGGGGTTGAGGCTGCTGATTCTTTGTCTGCATGAAATCTCCAGCTCCCTCATGGTTTGGAGGTGTTGATAGATTTGGAGGTTTCTTGCTCAAGAGTGTTTCCAAGGCCACATCTTGGGCTCGATCTAAGCTGTTTGAGCTGTCTTTCGAAGCATTCGTTGGGAGACACATGGAGACACTGTTGCAGGCAATGGCTGTAGCATCATCGGGTCTCATTGGGAGCAGCGTGTCTTTGCGGGAGAGATCATGTCTCCTGTGTCCACCGAGAGATTGGTAGAAACCTACGTCTCAAGGGTGAGCACCTGGGACGTCAGATTTGGGAAGCACAAGAAGAAGAACATGCAAGAACACTGCAGACGATGGCCTCCAACCTACAAGCGATGGCCTCCATCCTAGAAGGAATCAAACACAAGAAGAACATGCAAGAAAACTCATGCAAGCTCTGAAGACAAAAGAAGAAAACAGGGGAAATACGGAGTGGCTCTTTTCAAATTGGTGGCTTTTTCAAGCTTGCTGAGGCCTGGCGGTATTCCAGGATTCTGGTTGGTACAAGCCCAACATGTCTGCAGCAGACCCCGTCGTGAAGGGGGTGCATTGGGGCTATCAACAAGGCTGCAGCTTCGCAACTGCCAAATGCGTTGATAACGATGTGCCAGTGAACAGCAGACTTTTTTGCACCGACTCCACGTCTATCACCTGCTCTCTGGATCGAAAGTCTGTGCAAAACTGCGAGACTGAACTGCGATCGTCCAACGACTTTTCGATTGTCACTCCAGTTTCGTTTCGTTTTTTTTTGCCGTTTCCTATTTTGCTTTTAGAGATCAAAGTGCTTGGAGCTCAGGAAATTAGCGGCTCTTACACCACTTTGCCCTCAGTCTTGTCCTATACCACCGGCAACAATCTTGGATTGGCGCCAGAAATGGATTACTGTCCACATTTTGCTGTAACTCTCAGCAACCGCATCTCGTCGCCACATGCCACCACTTGTTGTTGGTGCGAAGGAACGGATTCAGCTCAGAGGTTCATATGTACAGATGGAAGGAATCGTCCAAGATCTCACAGAATGATGTTGGTATTTACAACCCTTTTGTACGTTTACTTTAGGAAGTGATAGGTAGGCTTCAGTAAAGCATACTTCATGCGGACTCCATGAGGCTCCCAGCAATATGCTTCCCAAGGTGTTTGCACCAGCAGCGGAAGCAGCACAGTGCCCTACACGAGCTTTGGTCCTTCGTTCTTGCTGTCTTCTTTTGAGAGCAAGGCGCAAGTCTTTAGAGCAAGGGCCAGAAGCCTTGGAGTGTTGGATTGATTCGATACACTTTGTTGAGGACCCAAATGTGAAGGCCAAATGTGTGTGGAGTGGGAAGACCGTCTGACTCAAATGGTTCGGCACGACCTTAGGGCCACAAGTTGGAACTAGATACGCTTCACCCCTCGATCTTGGCTCCTCCTCGGTCGTGTGGCCCAAACACCACGACCGAGGAACGTGAATTTCATGCGAGAAGTCTTCTCCAACAACAGCCGCTGCTTCATGAGCACCCTGCATGCGGATGCGCCTGCGGATGGTGGAGGCCAGCTTGGATCCTCCGAGCTTGAGGGGATTGGGTTGCAGAACTGCAGCTGAAAGAGAATTGAAACGAAGGACCTCCAGTTACTTTGATTTGTGTTTTTTCTTCTTTCTTTTTTCAAAGTCATGTGATTCTCAAATGTGCTGCTACGCGCGGAAACACAGACATTGGAATACCGATGTAGTGAGCAAAGACGCTAGCCGTGCAAGTTTTGCTGGTTCCCACTTCATTTTTGTATAGTAGAAAGAATGCTCCTAGTAACAAGTGCCTTTCTAGTAGTAACAAGTGCCTTACTAGTAGTAACAAGAAGCTATTAGAGTTTACATGATTTTTGTAACGTTTCCTTCGTTTGGAGCTTGTCCTGAGGCGTTTACACTGCGCCGAATGAGTTTACAGCCGCAAGGCCGTGAACGCGTCGTCAGATCGCATGTCGCATCAAGAAGGCGATGACGATTGCACGGTAGTAGCTCCAATTAAATTCCAAATAAACTTAATTCTAATAGCTTCTTGTTACTACTAGTAAGGCACTTGTTACTAGTAGCGATGCACTTGTTCCTAGTAGCTTCTTATTTAAACGTTCTTATTGTTTCTAATAGCTTCTTGTTACTACTAGTAAGGCACTTGTTACTAGTAGCGATGCACTTGTTCCTAGTAGCGAATTGCACGCCAGTAGTGTCCTCTGATGTTTCTTTTTGGACCTGCGCGGGTAGGGCCCGGATCAACAAGAGGACAACTCCTCTGTGTTTTTTGTGGTGCAGCTTGGCAGTTGCATGCCTCGCCAGAACGATTTTGCTAGGCCTGTGTGCTATGAAGTTGAATGTGCCTCGGATGGCGCAAGCTATACTTTGAAGGCCTGTTTGACAAGTAAGCTGGAAGCTGGAAGCTGAGTGGGATGAGTTTGAGGTAGCATGCCGCATGCACTACGAGATAGCGTGTGGTACCAGAGAACAGAAGATGATTCAGAAACTAGCTCCGATTCAGAAACTGGCCGATTCAGAAACTATCGTACCGTATCCGCCGTTGACCTCTGTTCTTTTTTTAGATCGCGGTTCTTCGATTGGATCCTGGCAGGTGACCAATCTTCTCACTGACCCCATCAGCGTGATGTCCATCGGCACCTGTGTATCTGCGACCCAAACTCTGACACTTAGAAAGACAAAGAGGTGTTTTCTGGGAACATGGTCAGACCCTTTGGTGTTGGATGATGATGATGATGATTTGGCAATGTGCATGACATAGGATTTGTAAAATTTCTGATCACAAAGATGTCACTCGAGCAGTGATCGTGAGAGACGAGTCAGAGATGCAATTATATACAGTTCTTGTCAGTTGTTGGGAGGCCATCGCTAGTAGAAGCAAGGACGCTACTAGGGGCTCCTGGCCTTACTACTAGGAGCAAGGACGCTACTCGGGGCTCCTGGCATCGCTCCTAGGAGCGATCGGACGCTATTAGGTTGGAGGCCATTTCTTGTCAGTTGGCTTGTGATCCTCCAAGGACGATGCAAAGTGGAGGCGTGCTTAGCGTGCTTGTTCTGTTTGTCAGGTGATTGCCTTTGGAGAGCTGTTGGCTTACTATCCGCGCACATTCAACAGACGACTATTTCCTTCGAACAGACATTGCCATCCTACAAATCTTTTATCTCCTGATGTCTTCCAATGCCTCGAAAGTGCCTTCTTTTGGCCAGGAACACATTTCTTGGAAGATAAAGAAAGAAAGGAACAAAAAGAACAAAGAGAAAGACACACCCACAAACCCACGCGCGTACACGTTGTTCCTGAGAAAGACACAAAGAGAAAGACAATAAAATGCACAAGAAAGGAGAGCAATGGAAAATATCTGGGTTGAAGGCCATTGCTCTTAGGTTGGAGGCCATTGCTAGTAGGTTGGAGGCCATCGCTCTTAGGTTGGAGGCCATCGCTCTCAGGTTAGAGGCCATCGCTATTAGGTTGGACGCCGTCGCTATTATTGCTGTAGGTTGGAGGTTACCGCTTTTAGGTTGGAGGCCATCGCTATTAGGTTGGAGGCCATCGCTCTTAGGTTGACAGCCATCGCTCTTAGGTTGAAGGCCATCGCTCTTAGGTTGGAGTCCATCGCTCTTAGGTTGGAGGCC